TATTGGTTAACATAAATACTCTTTTTATGTTAGTAAGTATACTTATTGTATATTAAGAAAATAACTTGTTTTAGGAGAAAATGGTCAACTTCTAGATAGATGGATTTGGAGAGAAGATGAGCTATAGGCAATCAGAGTTCCTAAAATACAGGTTGGTCCCTTCATATCTACACATTTACTCTCTAAGTTTCAGGAACAGTAAACTCACACATAAAATAGATTCAGATAGTAAAGGATGCTTGTATTTCAAAATTAGCAAGTGGGAATACTGTAGAATGTCTGAAACAGAAATGATTATCTCCAGCATGTAGATTAAATGTGATAATGGAGGTGAAGAGGAAGTGAGATGTAAAATGCTTCTCACCCTGTTTTGCACAAAATAAGGACCTAGTAAAGCACAACTGATGATGTGGCTATGACAATACACATGGTAAATTCCTATGGAAATTATTTTGTAACACCTGCTTCTAGCCTTCGCCAGGGAAAAAATATGTGGTGTGTATATTTTTCTAAAAGTTCTGTGGGTGATTCTCATGTGAAGTCAAGATTGAGGTCCCTGCAGTAGAAACACAGACCTATAGAAAACCCAAACATGAGTGGTTAAACTCAGGGAAACCAAACAAGAGGCTCAGCGTCTGTAAGTCAGAAATGAAAGCTAGTAAGAAAGACTTCTAAGATGACCTGATATGAGAAGGAAGTGCCAGATGACACAAGTAGTTGCCAGGACAGAAGTTTCATCCTGAATCTGAATTTTGATGTGATTTAGAGCCCAGATAGAAAAAGACCTGCTTCTTTGAGGGCATGGAAAGGATTCAGCAAAAGGCTGAGACTAGAAGTGTGGGAGGCAGAGCAAAGGATAAACCAATAGAAACCACACCCAGTGACCTTAGAGTTAGGTGTCATGAAGGGTGATGGACATGTGTGGTCCTTGGTGCTACCTGAGTCACACCCCCCTTGGAATGACTAGAAAACTGCAGATTCTGGAGCTTATCTCAGACCTTTTGGTTGGGAGCATAGGAAGCTGCACTACTCATAAGCATTCCACGCCGTGCTTGTATGTGCTGAAGTGGGAACCACTGATCCAGGTGGCCTGGATAACTGAGCCAAGAGTCTACGTAACATAGTCCTTATTTACACTTGGCCTCAGCCAGTGCAGCCTGTATTGCTCAACAGAAAATCCCATACAGCAGGTTTTGATGTGTTAGGAAACGTGCTACATCCATTACCTATTTTGAATCATTTAATCCTGACAGCAGCCCTGGGCAGTGTAGGTTTTATCACCCCGTTTTATTTATTTATTTTTTTTTACCAAAGTTAACCAGCTAAGAAATAGAGTTTGGATTCAGATTCAGGGGTGTCTGAACTCATATCTCCTCCACTTTCCACAGCCTCCTGCTGCCTGTCTAACATCATCGAAGAGAAAGAAGTGGGGAAAGATTGTGAGGTCAGAGATGTCTCCTGTAGTAAAGATAATTTGCCCTTAGTAAAGCTTCAGTAGCAGTCAGTGAGAAGTGAGCCCTGAGATCAGTAGCAGTGGGAAACCCAGCAGAGTGAGCCATTTGTACTGTCTGTCTTATGCTGGCTGGGTGTGCACGTGTGCACACATGATGGAGAGGATGAGGGTCTGCCTGCTTTTCTTGCAGTAACTGTCCTTAACCATCATGGGATGCCTTCTCATTATCAGAGTTTGAAGGCCACACCCACATGTTTAATCACCCAGTGTATCCAGATGTTAGATCTGTATTTGGAGTTGTTGTCATGCTGCTTCTGATGACTCCACAGGTAAACCACAAGCCGGCAGTTGCTTGAGGGGACAACAGTTCTTTATGCCACAGGTGCACACCTCATTTTACTGCCAACGCAGATTTCTTTTCCAGACAAATTGCCATAAAAGGGGGGAAGCACTTATGTCAGCCACAAGGCTTTTGAGAGAGGGAAAAAACATGACATAAAAAAGAGACAGCGGGCAGCTCAGCGGGCAGTATCCAGGGGTGGACAGAGCGCTGGGACGCAGTCCAGGCTGTTTTCTCCTAGCTCTGCACTATGACCTGGAGGAGGCATTTCACTCCTCTGGTCCTTAAATGATTCCGCTTAAAATAGGAATTGGACCTATTTTATCTAAAGTCAGATTATGTCACTTTCCTGCTTGGTGCCCTCCAGTGGCTCCTCACTTCCCTCGGAGGAAAAAAAAAACACCCAGATCCTGACAGTGGTCTCTTATCCCTACCCTGTGTGCTGTCTGTGAATCATGGAGGCCTGCTCCTGCCTCAGGGTCTCTGTCATCACCATTCCCTCTGCCTGGGACTTCTTCCCCCAGGTTTCCCACTCCTTTGTCTCCTTCACATCCTTAATCACACATCATTCTGAAGGAGGCCTTCACCGGCCACCTCCCTAGACACAAATGCAAGCATTCCCTGCCCTACTTAGTTTTCTCCACAGCACTTACCACCAGCTCGCATACTATATCTTGTTTTCTCTGGTGATTTTCATACTGGCAAGGCCATTTTGAATGATAAGGGGGAAATGCAAAAACAAACAACTGAAGTTAATCAAATGTAGGAACCTGCCTTTTAAAAATTAAGCCGCCCATAGGAAAAAGGTAAGTGAAAAAAATAGTAGCAGCAGCAGCTTTGATAAACCCAGGTATGTAGTCCTATTTTTCAAAATATTTTGGAATAAGGAGGCAGAAATAGAAACAAATTTAGCATGCAAACAAAAAATAGTTTATTGGGAAGATTACTGGTGCAGCTTTAAGATAGCAGCAAAATATTTTTATGACCTTGGCCTGATAATATTCATTCTAATTTATAAATTTTTTTTTTTTGGCAGCTGGATCATGAATCTAATTGGGCGATTTCACAGAGTTTCTAGATCAGAAAAGATAACCCCACGATGGGAACAGGACTACCATCTACAGCCTATGGGCAAACTGGGATTATTTTATGAATATCTTGAAATGAGTAAGTTCTTAGTGAAGTTTTTAGTGATATAAAATATGTTGGAGTATGTTGTGGATCCCAAAAGCATCTGTTATTGAGCCATATTAACATTTAGCATATTGAAGAAGAGTATGTTTTTCTCCACTAGATAAAATTATACAATCAGGCTTTCAGATAGGGTGGTCATGTGTGTCTTTGTCAATATTTATGTTGTACAAAGCTAGAAATTTATTAGCGGGCAATGGAATGCAATATTCATTGAGGTACATCTTTACCATTAATTCTTTTTTTTTGTTTTATTTTTTTTTTTTTTTTTGAGACAGAGTCTCGCTCTATAGCCCAGGCTGGAGTGCAGTGGTACAATCGTGGCTCACTGCAACCTCCACCTCCCAGGTTCAAGCAATTCTCCTGCCTCAGCCTCCCGAGTAACCGGGATTACAGTCCGCCACACCCAGCTAATTTTTTGACTTTTAGTACTGACGGGGTTTCACCATGTTGGCCAGGCTGGTCTCAAACTCCTGGGCTCAAATGATCCACCCACCTCAGCCTCCCAAAGTGCTGGGATTACACACATGAGCCACTGGGCCCAGCCATCTTTACCATGAATTCTTAAAGCATTCTAATCATGTTGTCTGAGAATGAACTCAGCAACTATAATTAGGTGTGATTCAGTCCATGCAGGCAAAGCTGTTGGCCAGTACACTTCTGAACTGAGTCATTTAAGCAAGCCTGCAGGAGCACGCAGCTTCATGGCAGGAATGGTCCCAGGATGCCCACTTTCACATCTCATGCCTGCCTTTGACAGCCTATCTATTTCTTCTGGCCAGTAGTTTCTACCTGGTTCCTTGAGTGACTTCATGACTCATAACTGGCCTGAATTTGAAACCATTGTGCTGGTCTGGAATTAAGATTTAGTACAGGTCCTCTCTTTCCTAAATGCCTTGGTCCATTTTTATATTATTTGCTTGGGCTCTTAATTCTTTTCAGTGGAACTTGATATTGACCTCTCGGTTGCCTTTAAACGGAAGCATCTCAGAATAGATTTCCATAGGAAACATCACCTTTTGTATTATGCATGACACGCTTATATCTAATAGATGGCTAACAATTTACATGTTTTGTATCTGTGCCCTTTCAGCTAACCATTACACTGAATTACAATTTTTTTAAGCTTAGGAGAATAGAAAAAGAAACGCATCATTTTTGTTGACAGGCTTTGCATTTATGCATAGGGCTTTGCATATTGGCAAAGACACCCCTTTGTGGTTCCTGTTTACAAGTCTGCAGTTAGAAGGTGGTTTTTATTAAATCACATTCTATATATAAAATAATTGCTTTTAAAAATACACATTATACATGGAAACACATCTGCTTCCTTCAGTGAGTAAAAGGTTCATCTTGTGGCTTCTTTAGTCAGCAGTACTTTGCAGCAGCCCAGAGCCTGATTTGAATTTCATTTTTGCTTTGTTATGTTTTGTGACCAGGTTTTATTAAGGGTGTAGCTGCAGTACATATGTGGAAGCTGTCCTTAGTTATTATTCTGCTTATTTTCAGAAGGACTGTAAGACCTGTTATTCAAAAATGAGTCGTAATTGTGAATGTTTCTTATTGGAACTATTAACAGCATTAAAAAGAATCCTGGGGTAGAATGTCATTTGTTATTTTTTAAAAGTTTTTTTTTGTTTAGTTGATAGTCAAATAAATGACATCAGAAGAGAAAGTTATATGGTCATGTGCTTTGGGGAGAAGTTGATAGGACGTTTAAAGTTTCATAGGCTCTTTAAAATAGTTATCAACTAAATAATTCTGCCTCATCCTGCCCTACAAGAAAGTATAGAATAACAGCTATTATAGACAGATTTTTAAGTTTATTAGGTTGTTTTCCTGTTATCTAAATAGTACCTAATGACTTAGAAAACTTGATTTCTGAATTTCTGGGAGTAGGCAGTCTGTTACTGTGTGGGCAACAGGAGAGTGAAATCTGTGTTTTGTCCTTCTAGTCTGTGAGAGACAGAATTTCCAAGTGCCTTTTGAATTGTTTTCATTTCTCTAAAAATAAACATTGAGCGCCTTTGGTATTGGTCTCACCACTACACAATCCCCTCCTTCCCATTTCCCCATATTCCTTAATGACACCACCATCTACCTTTTAAATCGTGGCTCTTACTGCTTAAGGGAAACATCTTCCAGAAAGCCAGCCTGGAGCCTCCACCCTTGCTTGGCCTTGCACCCAGCCTCAACTCTCTTTCCTTCTTTCCTACCTGACAAGTCCTGCTGAGCCTCAGCCGGGCCCCTGAACTTTTCAGGCAGCTTTGCTGCTCTTTACTTCTAGGCGTTAGCAGCGCCTGCTACCTGCTGTGGCGGTATGCGCTCTGTGCCTGCCTCTGTCCCCATTGCACTGAGCCTGATGGAGGCAGCTGCCACGTCCTCTGCTAGAGCGCCAGTGCCTGGAACCTTGTACTTATAAACATTTAAGCAACTTGAACTTGGAGCTCTGACACACATATCTAACTTTTAGTTGATTTCACGTTAACATTCCTCACTCACTTCTCACCAAGTTCTGTATGACCTGTTTGAGTGAAACGTTTTTTATTTAGTGAATTTCCCACCGTCCTTTGAGATTATTGGAGTAACTCTGAGCTGTTAACCCAAATTGCTTCTCTAAGAGTGTTGCTGACTCCGAGTACACACAACATAAACGTAGTCGTCTGTATTCAAACCTGGAAGCCATAAATACTGTTTTGTACTCAGTAATGTACTGCAGACACAGGTGTCCTGAGAACTTGATAAGGCCTTCCTGGTAGGCAGGTGCCATAAACGGAGTGCAGTGAAGTGATGAGTGGGCCCTGTTTGTCTCTGGCACTGTCTCTTCCACCCTTGCCATGGTGCCTTGATCTCACTTTCATCTGTCTTCAAGTTAATGTTTTAAAATCTGCTAAAACAATGACCTTCATATATGATTTTCTCCATGTAATTGTACTGTAATGAATATCAGCTATTATTCAGCAGCTCCTTGTGCCCCTTTCTTTTTCTCCCTCCCGTGCTGAACCCACCGATGCCTCCGCTGCACTCTCCAGGACTCAGGCCTTCTTCCCTTCATGCTCTCATCTCTGCTTGGTTCGAGCCCATCACCTGCCATGAAGTCTCCTAACCTTTGCAGGATGAGCTTTCCAAAAGGGCAACTAGGTAATTGGGAGGATTTGCAGGCCTCCAGCTCTTCATTTGTTCATTCATTCATTCACTCATTCATTCATTAAACATTGAGCACCTGCTGTGCCAAACACTCTCAGCCGCTGGGCATACCAGGGCACTTGGTCCCTCCCCTCATGGAGCTCAGCACTTGGCACATGGTTAGGAAGGAGAATGCTAATCAGACTTCCTTGAGCAGGTGATATTTGAACTGGATTTTGAAGGGTGAATGGAAGTTAGTTATCTGAAGTATGGTGAAGAGAATGGACATTTTGTGTGGAAAGGTGGACATATTTAAAAGTACAACAGCTTAGTCAAAGAATGGCAAGTGAACAAAGGATTCACAGGTGGGAATATCAGGTAGGCAGGGGCCATATCATGATGGGTCTGGTGTGCTTAGCCAGGGGACTTGAACTTTATTCTTAAAGAAATTGGGATCCACTGGAATATTTGTAAACAAGAGAACTGCATAACATTTATGTGGAATATGATCAATCAGGCAGCAGAATGGAAGATAATATTTTGGATGAGACTTGTGGTGGGAGGGAGATGATTTAGGAGGCTACAGCAGGTAACCCGGACAACAAGTGACAGGTGCCTAAATAGTGGGCATAGGAGTAGAGAGAGGGAGATGGAGTTAGGTAAGTGTTAAAGAGGTGAATTGCATAGCAGATGAGGAATTAAATTAAGATAACTTCCAGGAGACCATATATGCAGGGCAGAACATAAGGAGAGGAGCTGTTCTCTAGGAAATGGCTCAGTGTTGGATATTTTTAGCGTGAAAACATCTGAAAGGCAATGTCTATTAGAAAGTTGGACACCACAGTCAGGAGCTCAGATGAGCCATGGGTGAGGCCATGAGGGTGAATCAGGCATGCCTAGCAGGAATATAAAGAGAGATGGACAGAGAATTGATGAAGAGGCCCTGGGGGAAAGGGACATTTGAAGAGTGAAGAGGGAGGGAGGCCCACAGAGGAAAAGAAGAGCAGAGCAGTGGGAAGAAATCCAACAGGGTTGTGTCAACCCAGAGAAGGCTTGGGAGATAATGTCGCTTCAGAGGAATTTGGTCATGAAGGAAAAGGGGCATAATGGAAAATCCAGAGGGGGAAGAAAGGAAGAGCCAGCACCCACACACTCCTAATTGCTAGACCTGGGGCAGGAAGTGGAAGCAGTGCTATAGCTAGGCAGGGTTTTTTTAGTTTTTTTGTTTTTCAATATATATTTTGACTTTTAAAAATTAAGTAAAAAGGAAATCAAGGGGAAATAAATATTCCACAGCAGGGTGACTGTTTGGCCATGTCACATAAATCTTGGCCATAAATTTCTTATGACCATGTCACAAGAAATCACAAAAATCAGGACCAAAAAGGAGCATCAGCTTATGAACATGCAGCCACCGGCAAAGTTAGCAAGAGTAGGTCCAGTGCAGTGGTGAGGGCCTCAGCAGGGTGCGGGCCTTCAGGGACTAGTTACTCTGCCACTTGTTGTGAAGATGGATACTTCCTTCAGAAAACTCAACTGTAACATGTAGAAGCAAGCAGAGAAAGCATTAGAGAGCAGTATAGGATTATGAAAAAGTTGCAGGCAGGGTTGTTTTGTTTTCATAGTGGGTGTTTTGCATTGACTTTTTGTTGTTGTTATTCTTGGTTTCAAAAGTTGCTTATAAAATTTTTCTCACTTGAATATCAGAACAAATTACATGGGCTTTTTCTGGTGTTTTGTTTTTAATCCATGTGGAATTTATTTTGGTGTCAAAAGTGATGTCCCCATACCAATTTTTCCCATGACTTAGCTAGCTGTGCCAATACTTGCATCCACTGCTTCAAAGCATCACTTTATAATATATTAAAACCCATGAATATTTGCATCTCCTCTTAAAATTCACCCTATTTAATTCATACTATCTACTCATGTACTAGTTCTAAACTGTTTCAATTACCACAGCATTACAATATACTTTAATATCTCCCAGAGCTATCCCATTTTATTTTTTCAGAATGTTCCTGTCTATGCAAACATCCCTGTTTATTATTTTACCTGTTTATATTTCTTGAAGAACTTCAGTATCACTTTTCAGCTTTTTTTCTTATCTTTCTTTGAAAGACAGAGTCTCGCCCTGTTGCCCAGGCTGGAGTGCAGTGGCACAATCTGGGCTCACTGCAACCTCCGCCCCCTCAACTAAAGCAATCTTCCCACCTCAGCCTCCTGGGTAGCTGAGACTACAGGCTTGTACCACCATGCCCAGCTAATTTTTGTATTTCTTGTAGAGACAGGGTCTTGCTATGTTGCCTAGGCTGGTCTCAAACTCCTGGGCTCAAATAATCCTCCCTCCTCAGCCTCCTAAAGTGCTAGGATTACAGGGATTAGCTGCCACACCTGGCTGACCTGTCAGCTTTTTTTGTTAAATCCATTTGGGATTATTAACAGAATTTACATTAGAATTCTAAATTATTTTGTGGAAAATTTTTGATACGTCCCTGCATTCAAGTTTGCCCAATCAAGAGTATGGCACATCCTACCATTCATTCATTCATCATTATTTGTTTTTTCTTAAGTCAATTATCATAGTAGTCTTACATTTCTCATTAATTTATTTCTAAATAGTCTATGCTTTTGTTGTCATTATAAGTGGTATCTTTTCTCTTTTGGATTTTTAACTAGGTTTACTGATAACATAATCCTAATCTCTGGCTTCTCTTGAACAATCAGGAGATCTGGCAACATGGAGACCTCATTCCAACATGGCAGCTATGAGCTGTCCCTTTCCGTAGGACACACACTTGCTAGTTTACCACAGTTGACTGGCTGACTCCACACATGGCTATTACTTGCATGCCCTGGGGGCTGATGAGTTATTTAGGATTGGGTGAGTCATAGACAGAGATGTTGATATCATTGCTTATTGCTGCTGCTCATGACTCTATAGCATCACTAACTCTGGTCCTTGCCTGGCTCACTTCTCTGCATGAGAGTGCTCCTGCCTGGCCTGTGGGACTTACTGGATCCTTCTAGCCCTGTCTGCTCTTCTGCAACATGCCCTTTGCCTGTCAGACCAGAAGCAAATGCCAGTTCTGCTTGCCTCGCCACACCCTCCACATCCTCGCCCTTCCTGACCAGAGTCGTCCCTGCCCCCTGTCTGAGCACGAGGCCTAATGGGGCTCTACGTTTTCCTCCCATCCACAGTCTTAGTTACATATCTGTATGTGTTTCCTCTGAAGGTCTGCCAGTTAGGAGGGCAGGGTCTAAAACTGAGTTTCCTTTTTTGGATATTTTCTTCTTCCCCTCCATGGTATCACCCCAAAAATCTCTGCTGCCCTATTTATAATAAGGCCGTGTCAATTACAAACAAGGAGAAAAGAACTTCTAAGCTACCACTCAAATTTTGACTTATTATGACCACAAGGACCACAACTAACTTCAAGATCAAGAATCTTAAGGATATTATAACTTAAGACACTTTTATCACATATATTTCTAACACTATCAAATTCTCTGAATGCACTGCACTTGCATTTGCGACTCAGGGGAGCTCACTCATTTGCTTGTTCTCAGCGTATTTCTTCCAACATTCTCTAAGCATAGCCTTCCCATGGGTCCATTTCTTTTTCTCTTTAACTTGTTAGATAATGCCATGATATTTCTTTTTTCTTAAAAAAAAAAAAAATCCTAAACCACAAATCATCTTCCAACATTCTATTTCAACACTGAGAATGAATAATATGCTTATGATGTCTCAAATTTATTACCAGCAAATAATTCTGGTTGACTAAAGATGTCTAAATATATTGGTCCTATTAAGTGTATACATGTGAAAGAAACAGGCTCTAATTAGTCTTCTTTCCAGAGATTTTATATTTGTGTTTTGTTTGAATTCTTTCACTGTTGAACACTAAATTATTATTTACCACAGATGTGTTTTCTCTCTGGGATTTAGTTCGTTTGCCTTTCTCTTTCAAGAGTAAAGAAAAATATGTTGTCCTTCCATCCACCACCACTCCATGATGTGTGTCCATTCCATTGACAGTTATTCAGTTTGGGTTCGTCACCTTATTTGTGGCCTCTTTTCCACTGGCCCCTCTGTTGGCTCTCGTGAACAATATATTGGAAATAAGAGTGGACGCATGGAAACTGACCACCCAGTTTAGACGCCTGGTACCAGAGAAAGCCCAGGACATTGGAGCATGGCAGCCCATCATGCAAGGAATAGCAATTCTGGCTGTGGTGACCAATGTGAGTAGACCTAAGCTTTACAGGGTAAAGACCTTGAAGATGCATTAGATTTGCTACCTAAGGAATCAAATGTTTAGTGTTTTTTAAAATGGGAGGAAGATGCTAAGTCTGTCATCCACATAAACGATATAGTTGCTATATATAACCACTTGTTAAATGTATTTTCATTTTGTATATAATTATTTTTAACTGTCAAGACCGCCTACACAGGTACTGTTATTGCTCATTTGCTAAACTTTTTATTCAATATGAAATATGGTAATGATAAGTACTAACACTTTTAATCCTCACATAACTATAAAAAGAGTTATCAGAAAATGCTTTTTTATAATGTGGATAGAAATCTGTTCATTCAGAGTTTGAGGACCCTAAAATAAGATCATTCTACCTTGTTTTACTACATATTCCAAAGCATCAACCTAAAATATTAACTCTGATGGTGAAGTATAAACAGTTTGTGCACTCCTGATTACCTTCCTTGACTCCAGAGCAGCAATTCTTAAAGGAGGGAGGTGGGTGGGTTTCATCACCTTTCCCACCCCACCCTTAGGTCTTTGCTCGCCATGCTCTGATCATTGGCTGAAGCAGCCTCATGCCCTGTATATATCACAGCTGTGAGGGGACAGAACTCAGTTGTTTACAGCCTGTATTCATTGATTATGGGCCATCTGAACGTGTCATTTTTATGTACAGCCACAAGGGAGTTCTCAGGCAATGCAATTTTCATGCCATCCCATTAGCGGAACACTTTCCCAAGAAGTGTCCCAAAACTAGGGCCATTTCCTCCCATATTTCACTGACAGTCTCACTCCCAGGTGAACCTCCCTAACAAAGTGATTCCCCAGTTTTGTTTTCTTAAGCCACATCTTCCCTGAGTCCCCAGCCAAAACAACAGAAGTTGGCAGTGCCTGTAGGAGACGTTGGCAGTGCCTGTAGGTTAGGCTCTGGATGAGGGAAGTTACTGAGCATTGTGGGCTCTAGAGTCAGGTAGACTCGAGCTCCAGTTCCCAGTACTGTAGCTGCATGATCTTGAGCCAGGCCTTACCACTCCAGAGCCCCATTTTATTATTTGTAAAATTATTACTTCCCTACCGCATATCATAGGAATAGTACATACCAACCACAATATTAGGGAATTCGTTGAGTTAATGCATGAAGCCTCATTTCTATTGAATGTTAGCTGCTGTTATTTTATCATCTTTATTACTCATCATTGTTATTAACAGTGACTCTGAGGACTCTGACAGGTACCCCAATTGGAGGCAAAATAATTCCAAAAGTAGTCACTGTCTGGATATGGTTACAGTTTTATACAATAAAACAAGTTATCTGGAACCTAGCTGTCATCCCTACCGCAGAACCTTAAATATATCTGAATTGCATGCTATCTGTACTATTTGGAGAAAGTTGCAAATCGCACACAAAAACCAACTACTAGAGTATGTCAGTTTCCTTTCACCCGGGTACCCCACACCTTCAACATCTACGGTGCTGCAAAATGAAGACTGATGTTTAGAAAAATGGCCATGATGCCTTTCAAGTTCCTCGGTCATAAAACAATGAATCTGTCATGTTCAGTATGCTCTAGTACACTGAGCTGGGCAAGAACGTGGACTTGTGTGCTTTAAGAAAATTTTCAGCAACAAAGTTTGAAACTAAAAGGGTTTTTATTTGACCTTCAACCAACCAGAAAATTCAGTTGACTCAAACTCTCCCTATTCCTCAAGCATTCTGGATTGATTGTATTAGGTACCTTTTCCCAGCATCCATGCCATGGCTCCACTCCATGAGCACAGATGGAGGATTGGCTGTTTCCAAGGCGACTCAGTGTGTGTATGTGTATAGACACTCATGCCGGCTAATTGGTGCTATTGGTTCTTATCCAATAATGGCTTTTTCTTATCACTTAACCTAGGAAAACTGCTTATGAGATTTGTGACATTGATTAAACTATGGGCAATCCCTTTTTCCATATTAGGATTTGTTATACTTCCAAGATAGCAGTTATACATCCACATACATAGGCATCTGTTTATGTATGTGCAGGCATTAAATGTATGTCTTATTCCCTCAAACACCCAGTGTGTATCTCACAACCTACTGTCTACCAAAAGAGAATAACCACCAGGATGAGAATGGGCATCAAGCAGGAATTTGGTATAAAATCATTCATTTTAAAGCTGCTGGTTCAATAAATAAGCTGAATTGACATTGTTGTATCATGCCAGAGCATCTGTTATTGAAGACCAATTTTAATTTATTTTTATATAAATGGAAAACTGTGTGCAGAACAGCATGGGAAATGAAGCACACTGCATTTATTTGTACTCTTGCAGCATGTGTCTCAGAGCAGCTCAATTCAGGAAGAAAAGTATCTTGTCAGAAGACAATAAAATTATCTTCTGTGTTGGAATTTTTTATAGCTTCCTGATGCACATCTGCCAGTGATTCTATAAAAAGATATAGTTGAGTTAAATGATAATAGCAAAATTTAATCTATTGAAATCTGAGGGAAAAAAGGTAAAATATTCTTGTGGCTCCCCAGTACTGACAGGCAGAAACACACTCATATATATACATTTTTTACATCAGAGGAAATGACAAAGCTGGTTCTAGTGAGGGAAATTTTACAATAGAAAAGCCCCTTAATTGTTTTTTCTTGCTTTGTCTGAGATTTGGTTTGTGGTCTCACTGTGTCTAAACCATACGTTCAAATGAATACTATTAAAAATCATGTTAAGCCAAAAACATGTCTGCTTTTCTGTCTCATCAATGACAATCATTTAGCTATTTTATTCACATAGAATTTGGTTTAAAGTCAAATCGTTTCTCCTTCGTTCAAACCAGTTTTACATACTGGAGAGTTTAAAGCCCAAATTAAAGAATTTTAGAGAAAATTCATGTAATTCATAATAGCTTTACCTCCTAATAGATGTCTCTCTGACACACAGGTTTATGATTGGCCCATATTTACTCCTTTTATCTAGGAACATACTAAATTTTCTGTATGTTGTTGTTTAATTTATAATTTTCATAACTTTATCCACTTAATCTTTTTGAAGTTTAGAGACTTAGATACTAGATCAAACTAAACAGACATTATTATTTGACTATGAATGGGACAACCCCAGTATAATTCTTTCTGCTACCCAAATTTTGCTAAAATTAATAAATGTTCACACTCTAATGAAGCAACGGACATAACCATGTACTGAGGGTTTAAAACAAATCAGGTCATGGTTTGACTTATCTAAACAAGTCAAAATACTATACAGGAGAAAAGTGAACTTTAGAGGTCATTATTTAAATTTAGATCCAGGAAAACATGCAGTTTACATTGTGTTTATGAAAAGCAAGTGCTAAAATCAATTATATAAAGCTGAATTATTTTCATAACATTGACTCTGATTACATGTGCAAGTCTTCTAGGCTGAGGTCAGTGGCTCATGCCTATAATGCCAGCACTCAGAGAGGCTGAGAGAATTGCTTGAGGCCAGGAGTTCCAGACTAGGCTAGACAACATAGTAAGAACCCATCTCTACAAAAAATGTTTAAAGATTAGCCAGGCAGAGTGGAGTGCACCTGTAATTCTAACTACTCAGGAGGATCACTTGCGCCAAGGAGTTTGAGGTTACAGTGAGCTATGATCATGCCAGTGCACTCCAGCCTGGACAACAGAGCAAGATCCTATCTCACTATCTGCATATATTTTGCAGTTAAGAAAGAATTAAGATTTCTGAATCTTTAAAAAAAAAAATCAACATGATGAAAATAGTAAATCTGCCATATTTGTTAACCTGACCTATAAAAACTATAACTTCGGCCGGGGGGGTGGCTCATGCCTGTAATCCCAGCACTTTGGGAGGCTGAGGCGAGCGGATCTCCTGAGGCCAGGAGTTCAAGACTGGCCTGGCCAACGTGACAAAACTCTGTCTCTACTAAAAGTATAAAAATTAGCTGGGCTTGTTGGCACGTGCCTGTAATCCCAGCTACTCAGAAGGCTGAGGCAGGAGAATTGCTTGAACCCAGGAGGCGGAGGTTGCAGTGAGCCAAGATCGTGCCATTGCACTCCAGCCTGGGCAACAGGGGGGGGCTTCCTTTTCAAAGGCAAAAAACAAACAAAAAACCATAACTTCATTTTCACTTTTTGTTGTTTTTCTCCCAAAACAGGCCATGATCATTGCTTTCACATCGGACATGATCCCCCGCCTAGTGTACTACTGGTCCTTCTCCGTCCCTCCCTATGGGGACCACACTTCCTACACCATGGAAGGGTACATCAACAACACTCTCTCCATCTTCAAAGTTGCAGACTTCAAAAACAAAAGCAAGGGAAACCCATACTCTGAGCTGGGTAACCACACCACATGCAGGCAAGTTCTGCTTTACTTGTTTAAAAACGCACTTCATCTTTAAAAGGGGTTTTCTTGTGACTTAATTCTGTTTGGTGTCATTTTTTTAATTATTTAATTTTTATTTCTTTATAACTTCAGGATCAACTGGGTGCTTTGGTGTCATTTAAATCAAGCTGCTAGAGACATTTTTTCCCCATAGCTTTCTCTTGAGTGAAACGCAGAAAATGTGTATGTATGTATATTTATTAAAAAGTTAATGAAGACTAGGGGTAGAACTTTCAGACCAAACCATAAAGATTTAAAGATGAGAGTTTCAAAGGATTACAGGGAGATTGATTCCAAAGAAAAGTCATAGAAATAGAGAAACTTCAAGAGGTCCCAGAACAAAGATAATTCAGTTGTTAATACTATTGTGTTATTCAAGCACAATCTGAAGATATTGAATGATGGCAAACTAGCACCTCACATAACAGGGGCATACAGAGAGAAGAGATGTAAATACTCAGCTGACCAGTATTATCTAAAAGTATTCCAAAACTCTCTCCATCGATTTTAATGGCTGGTGAGTTCAACAGTGGACAGTATGTACCAGGTAAATTACCAATTGATAGTTTGTGAACCGTAGGTCATCGACCTTTTTTCCTGGATCATAGAGTTTCACCTAAAACAAGAGGCTTTAAAGTTTATTTAGTCCAACTCCTCAAAGCCTTCACTAACTCAAATTCTCAATAATGCAACCAGGAAACCAGAAATAAGCCCAAAATAAGTGTTTGTGTTACACCTAGTGGAGCCTCTTTACAATTCTGTATTGAATCTCCTTATTCTTACTTGCCACAATTCTAATCAGAAATTAAACTCTTCTAGGTTTAATAGTTTACAGGCATAAAATTAGATATGTACTACCTGAGGAAGATACACCAACAGCAGTTAACAGTTGATATCTGACAAGAATTAGGTAAAAAATTATAGCAAGCAGATAGTACTCTGTATGAGGAGAGAGAGTCCCATAGCTGAATGAACCCTGATGATACCATTATATAAATAAATTTATAAACATGATCCCTTAAACAGGAATTGTTTTGAGAAAACAGGGATAAATGTTGGGAGAAAAAATTTAAAACTTTAGTTCTTTTATAAAGATGGGTTATTTTCTACAAAGATGGACCCTGTTATTACCATCATTCTCTGATTAAATATTAAATGAGATATAACTGTAGTTATTTTGGGGCTTTGTTACCAAATTGAGCTTTAAGAGAAAATGTATGTGATGTCCAGTTTAAAAGAGCATTGAATCAAATATGACCTTTACTTTTTTTTTTTAATTTTTTGAGACAGAGTCCTGCTCTGTTGCCCAGACAGGAGTGCAGTGACGCCATATCAGCTCCCTGCAACCTCCACCTCCCGGGTTCAAGCAATTCTCATGCCTCAGCCACCGGAATAGCTGGGATTACAAGCGCGTGCCACCACGCCTGGCTAATTTTTGTATTTAGTAGAGATGGGGTTTCGCCATATTGGCCAGGCTGGTCTCGCACTTCTGGCCTCAAGTGATCCACATGCCTCGGCCTCCCAAAGTGCTAGGATTACAGGCATGAGCCACTGCACCTGGCCATGACTTCTTTTTAAATGGGGCCTTTGTTTACAGTATTCAGTCAAAAAGATTTGTCTCCCAATATGTCTCCATTTCGTTTTCAGGTATCGTGATTTCCGATACCCACCTGGACACCCCCAGGAGTATAAACACAACATCTACTATTGGCATGTGATTGCAGCCAAGCTGGCTTTCATCATTGTCATGGAGGTAGGAAAAGTATACTTTCAAACAGTTTATAAGGATGTGTATTTGCAGACCTTCCATTAAATGTTGCCAACTCCATACTTAACATGTATGATACCTTCTTATCACTTGCTAATATTTTAGGAAATATGTTAATCAGTTTTGACCTGAAAATATTCAAACAACTTCATTAACGAGAGCATTATCTGCTTTTAAACTTTAAAAGCATGTTATATGCAAAAGGGATTCAATATCATTCTTTACTAACTTTTTAAAATTTAGGGCACTGGGCAGCATGTTGGGCTTTGAAAGGGCTTATTCAAGATGAGTAAGATGATGTGATCTCTGCCTGTGAGAAACTTTTACTGCTGGGAGAGTTTGAAATTGACCAGCTCTGAAAAATGACTAAGGCAACTATAAATTTGTAATTGATGTAGCCAACTATGCTTCCTATGCAGAGTGAATTAACTACTGCCAAATTATAAAGTATCAGAGGTTACTTAATTGGTATGGTCGATAGGATTGTATTTAAGCTGCAAGAAACAGAAAACGCAGTCTATGGTGGCTTCAGTAAGGTTGATTCCCCTCCCTCCAACCCACATAACAGAGTTCACGAATGTATGTGGTTGCTCCTGAATCAGTCAATACCAGTTCACTGATGGAAGCAGTATATCCAGTTCTTGGATTTGCTCTCATATATGTGCCCCTTATGGCTGCTGAAATTCCAGATAACAAATTACATACAAAGCAGGAAGAAGGGCGATGCTAACTATATCCAGTCCTTTTTGTCAGGAAAGAATGCTTTGCCAGAAGCCCCTACCGTGGACTTCCACCTACATCTCATTGACCAGAACTATAGCATGTGGTTTTCTTAGCAGCAAGAGGGGCTGAGGCAGGTGGATTTCATTTGCTCTGAATAAAACCACTCAGCAGAGAAGAAGTGGGGTAGACTCCCTGGCTTTTTGGTACTTATACTAGTTTTTTTTTTTTTTTTTTTTTTTCCAAGTAGCTACCAAACATTAAACAGGGAAGACAAGTAACTCATGGTTAGTTCACCATCGTAAGTGGCTTTCTCAAGTACAGTATGTGATATATCAGCAAGAGTCACAAGTTTCTATTCAAACATGTAGTTAATGAAGTGATTGGCCCTCTGCTTTTGATATTGTGGTAGACCATTTAATTGTCTTTACATATGCAGTGGACCATCCCCACTGCAAAACTTCTAGAGCCAACTTCATAATTCCTTTGCATTTCTGAGCTCACTGGAAGGGAAGAGAATCTACAGAGAGAGGGAAAATTAGGTGATGGGCTTTTCTTTTTTTTTTTTAAGAGACGGAGTCTCACTCTGTCGCACAGGCTGGAGTGCGGTGCCATGATCTTAGCTCACTGCAACTTCTGCCACCGGGGTTTAGCCGATTCTCCTGCCTCAGCCTCCCAAGTACCTGGGACTACAGGTGCATGCTACCATGCCTGGCTAATTGTATATTTTTAGTAGAGACGGGGTTTCACCATATTGGCCAGGCTGGTCTTGAACTCCTGACCTCAAGTGGTCCGCCCTCCTCGGCCTCCCAAAGTGCTGGGATTACAGGCATGAGCCACTGCACCCAGCCTAAGTGATGGGCTGTAATAGGGCAGTGAGCAGGGTTATGTTATGCAAGGGTGATATAACAGAAATTCCCTGTAGTGCTGGAGGGCTCAGAGAGCAAGCTGGTACACATCAGTGCCTCCATCTGAAGCTCAAGGAGATCACGCCTTGGTTCAGAAGGGAAGTGGAAAAACTGAGCTTGAGATTCCTGGATAAGCCAGAGACCCAAAACAGGGCTGCAAAGAAGTGTGTTTGTTTTCTGGAGAAAAGTGTCCTCAGTTTAGACCCCAGGTTTTTCTCAGATCAAGCTAATCAAATATGAGCACACAATCAAAGATGGTCAATAACAAGAGGTGATTTAAAAAAAAAAAAAAAAAGTGTGAGAAACAACTGATTTGGACTCTCAGTAACCTCAAGGGTTTGTTTGAACTGTCAGATAAGGAATATAAATTAACTGTATGTGAAAATATTTAAATAATTTTGGGTAGAATTTTAAAAGAGCAAGAAACTAAAAAAAAATTATAAGGCAATTTTGAGAAAACTAAATGGAACTTCTAGAAATTAAATCATTGGTGAAATGAAAAAAAGAAATAACATGGATGAAACAGAAGTTTAGGCAACTCTGAAGAGAGAATTTGTGAATTGGAAGATAGGTCTGAAAAAATTACTCCTGATACATCGCAGGGAGATAAGAAAATAGAAAATATGAAAAAAAAATGTTAAGTGATATGGAAGAATGAGAAATACTAACTTAAAAAAATGAAAGAAGCAGAAAATGGATTAAAGAGATGAAAGAGTTCATAGATCAGAAAGCATGACATGTATCAAGCAGAATAAAGAAATCCACTTACACATATTACAAGGAAAATGCAGCACACCAAAAATACAACCTTGGAAGTAACCAGAGGAAAAAAACTGATGACTAACAGAGAAAACTAAAGCGAGAATGGGAGTAGACTTTTTAACAGTAACAACGGAAGCCAAGAGAGCAATCTATCTCCAGAATGCTAAAGAAGGTAGCTATAAACCTTAAATTACAGCAGAAGTTTGAAATCTTTCTGCAATGAAAACACCAGACCATGTGGTTTTTATTGGAGAGTGATACGAAGCTTTTTAAAACAGATCATTTCAATCCTATACAAATGCCTTCAGAGATCAGAAAGAGGAAATACTCTCCAACTCATTTGGTGAGGCTAAGAGTAGCCTAAATCCTAAAATCAGACAAGAAGAGAGAAAGGAAAATAAAGCCAACCCTGTTCATTACATAGATGCAAAGATCTAAGATGTGTAAAGTGAGATGATGGACATGTTAATTTGTTCCACTATAGAGTAAGTCCTCACTTAACATCCTCATTAGGCTCTTGGAAACCATGACTTTAAGATAACAACATCTAACAAAACCAGTGTTTTTTCTCATCAATGCTGTAATGAAACAACATTGAAGGAAATGACGTTGTTCGAGGACCTGGAGTTGCAGTTTCCAAGAACCTGTCGATGATGTTGAGGACTCACTACGTACATGTGTCTTACAACATCATGTTGTATACCTTTACGCAAAAATTTTTAAAAATGTACAAATCTGAATCTAGAGATATATTTTAAAAAGATAACATCACACCACCAGGCTTTAACATGGAAATGCAAGGGTGACATAACAGAGAAATTCCACATATCTATAAATATTCCCTACCTCAGAAACAGATGAAAGAACTCTTTCCTACAGCATCAACCTTTATCCCTTTGCTATATAATTTCCATTATCACTAAACACACTAATATCTCTCACATCTCAAAATTCTCTCCGTCCTTACCTCGCCAGTCCTGCTTCACTTCTCTTCTCCTCTTTGTGGCCAGCGCCGTTGAATGAGTTGCCAGTACTCATGCTGTCCTTGATTCCTCTGTCTTTCTGTCATGCTTTCACCCCCTCCACTTCACTGAAGCTGCTCTTGCCAGTTACCAGCAGCCACCACTTCACCACCCTCCCCTCACCTGACTTAGCAACTTTTGACTCAGCAAAAATCTGAGTCAAAATTTCGCAGAAAATCTGACTTCAGATTTTCCTCATCACTTACCCCTGGAAACTCCTTCTCACTGGGCTCCTAGGAAAATACGCTTTCCTCCTGCATCCCTGGCCATTCCACCTCAGGTTCTATGCCAGTACTTTATTCTTTAGTGATCCTGGGACTCATCCCTTGGTTGTCTTCTTTTCTCTCTCCTTGGTCTCTTGATGATCTCCTGGAGTCTGTTGGCTCTAAATACCATCTGTATGCTAAAAGGACCTTAAAATGGTTGTTTCCAGAGCACACCTCTCCTGAACTCCACCCATGAATCCAATGGCCTACCTGGATTCTTTCTTTCTGTCTGCTTGAATGCCTAACAGAGATGTCTCACATCTACTGCCCCACATGCCTATATTTTCCTCCATTCACTCCAAATGTTCTCCTCCCAACCCAACCCAAAATCTCTCCCATCCACAGTATTTCCCTCTTGATTATGGCAACTCCATTTCAATACTGCTCAGGCTAGAGTCCTTGGAACCCTTATGCTATATCCAATCTGGTTGGCTTTTCCTTTGAAAATATATCAGTGAGCACTTCAGACCAACTATGCTGCTACCACCAGGTCAGAGCCACTATCATTTTTTTGCCTGGATTAGGACCAGAGTCTCCTAGCTGGGCTTGCTCTTGTCTTCCTCTCTTACTCAGAGTCAAAGCCAGAGTCCTCACAGTGGCACACAAGGCCTCATGGATCCAGCCATGCCCCAGTGCCCCTCAGACATCATTTCTCTCCTCCTCACCTACTCCGCACCATCTTTGCCTTTTCTTGAATGCACTCTGGAGGTTTCCTCCAAACCAGCTCTGCATTAGCTATTCCCTTTGCCTAGAATGTCTTTCCTTCTGATATCTGCAGGACTTGTTCCCTCACCTCAAAGTGTTTGCTCACTTAGGCATATCCAGACTAATCTACAGAAGAATCTCTTCATAGTACTCATCACTTTTTAACACCATGAATAATTTGTTTTTAATTATGCTTATATTATCTCTCTCCCCTTGCTAGGTCAGAGATTTTTTATTGATAAATTAAAAAATGAAAAGGTATTTAGCCTCATTGGTAATCAGGGAAATGCAGAGTAAGACCAAAGGGAAAGTCCATTTCATAATCACTAAGTTGGTTTAAAAAAAAAAAAAAAGTCTGATCCAGCCTGAGCAACATGGCAAAACCCAAAATTAGCTAATTAGCTGGGTGTGGTGGCAGGTACCTGTAATCCCAGCTACTCAGGTGGCTGAGGCAGGAGAATCGCTTGAACCTGGGAGATGGAGGCTGCAGTGGGCCAAGATCGCACCACTGCATTCAAGCCTGGATGACAGTGAGACTCTGTCTCAAAAAAAAGTTTGATGATACCAAGTGCTGGCAAGGATGTAGAGCAACTGAAACTGTCACTGCTGTGGGAGTGTAAGTTGGTATACCTGCTTTGGAAAATGTTTTGATATCCTCTTATAAAATGGAACATTCACATGACAGAGTCTCAGCAGTCCCACTCCTAGGTCCACACTCTTGAGAAATTTGCAAATAATGCTCTAGGATTCCAGCACAGTAATGTTCACAGCAGCCTTGCTCCTAAAACGAAAACTGGAAACAATCTCAATGCCTGTTTATAGGGGAACAAATAAATTATAGTGTATTCACACAGAAGAATATTATACAGCAGTGAAAATTAATGGACTAGTTTTATAAGTTTTATAGAATAACATTGATGAATTTTTTTTTTTTTTTTTTTTTTTTTTTTTTGAGACGGAGTTTCACTCTTTTTGCCCAGGCTGGAGTGCAATGGCGCGATCTCAGCTCACTGCAACCTCCGCCTCCCAGGTTCAAGCGATTCTCCTGCCTCAGCCTCTCAAGTAGCTGGGATTACAGGCATGCGCCACCATGCCTGGCTAATTTTTGTATTTTTAGTAGAGACGGGGTTTCTCCATGTTGGTCAGGCTGGTCTTGAACTCCCAACCTCAGGTGATCCACCCTCCTCAGCCTCCCAAAGTGCTGGGATTACAGGCGTGAGCCACCGCGCCTGGCCAACATTGATGAATTTTAGGCAATAGTTTTGAACAAAAAGCAGCCTGGTGTGGTGGCCCAAGCCTATAATCCTAGTGCTTTGGAAGGCCAAGTTGGGAGGATTGCTTGAGGACAGGAGTTTGAGACCAGCCCTGGCAACATAGCGGGACCCTGTCTCTACAAAGAAATTTTAAAAGTAGCCAGGCTTGGTGGCATGCACATGGATCACTGGAACCCAGGAGTAGGAGGCTTCAGTGAGCTATGATCACGCCACTGCACTCCAGCCTGGGTGACAGAGTGAGAACCTGATCCAAAACAAAAGAAAATAATTTCCAAAAGACTGCATGCAGATCATAAAGATGAAGTCAAGCAAGACTATATTTTGGGGGTCTATATACATATTTTGTCAAACTTTTTAAAAAAATAAGTGAGAATGATACATATACACTTGTACAGATATGATAGCATTGACTTTAGCAGAAGTGCAGGGCCATTAGAAAAAGAGACACAAAATACAACAGCATTATCAACATCCTAGTTTTTAAGTTTAATGGTGGTTTTTTGGGGTATTTATTTTTTCTTTATCCTTTATAACCTTTATATGTGTGTGTATATACTTTTCTACATATCACATAGTATTATTTATCTGTAGAAAGTAACAGTAACTGCTAGACAGAGCCACACTATTGATTAGACACGATGGCATTAGTGGTTGGATGTGTGTGTAAAATGTCCACTGCCTTGTCCAGATAAGTTGCCATAATGAGAAGCAAGAATGAAAGGAACTCGGTGTTCTCCTGCATTTCTTTGTGAGTGATATTTTTCTTCTTCTCTCCCCCAGCACATCATCTACTCTGTGAAATTTTTCATTTCATATGCAATTCCCGATGTATCAAAACGCACGAAGAGCAAGATCCAGAGAGAAAAATACCTAACCCAAAAGCTTCTTCATGAGAATCACCTCAAAGATATGACGAAAAATATGGGGGTGATAGCTGAACGGATGATAGAAGCAGTAGATAACAATTTACGACCAAAATTAGAATAAGAGCTTTATGTTCTGAGAAGCACTTTAAGGAATTTAGCTCTGTCAAAATATATTAGGAATCACTAATGAGAATGTTTAAGTTAAATCACTTTGGCAAATACGAGTCTTAACTATTGCCATTTCCACCTGTATTATTTTTCAGTTTCAGCTAGCGATGCAGAAACTGGAAAATGTAAAACTTAGATCATGAAGGGCATAAAACTTATCACCTGGAAAACCTAAATGTTACCTTTTTCTGATAAATTGGAATTTTACAGAAAAAGTCCCTTAGTATGCTTAAAAACCACCCCTTCTAAAGTAGAATGGATTCTTTTTTTTCTATTTGATTACTTAGATTTCTGTCTATTCTCGGGCGCATGATCTCCTTTATTTTCAGGCCATGTTTTATTTCTTCACTTTGCTAGAACTATTCCAGGGTCATCTTTTCCTTGCAGTACCATCATTATAGATTTAATAGCTTTCCTGTGATTAAAAATAGCTAACTAGACTCAAGGATTCACAATAGTTAGGTGTATTATCAATACCTCCAGAAAGGAAACCTCAGTTAATCAGAGGAAATAGTTTCAGTCTTCATTTGAACATGTCTTTCCATCTCAAAAAAATACTTGTAGTACGTTGGAATGAAGATAGCAAGGTTTTGAAGCGTATTTGTCCTAATGCACAGTGACACTTTTTATCTTCCAGGAGCCCTTCTAGGAGGTCCCGTGCCTAATCAATGTTGACTGCTTTGCAGATCTCAAGGGAATAAAATGACAAAAGTAGGGAAAGTTACAGATTCAAACAGCATTTTAACTCATGTTGATCTGCATAATTAATTTATCTTTTCTAAAGATGTGTAGTTTCTTGGAAAACAGTGATATCACATGATTAAAATTACATTTTTATCAACGTAATTGTCTGGAAAAGATAAGCCCATCAATTTTCTACCAGTTGACTTTTATTCATTAGATACAGAAGGTGCAGTATTACACATCACCAGCTGCCTTTGCGAATGGCTCACTACACAGCCATTGGGGCATGACTGTGTGCATGGGCAGAAACAGCAAGTGCCCTCATTGTGGTCACTGGGTAGGGAGTGCCTTTTGTCAAGGAGTCTGTAGGACTTGGCTTATTTCTATATGCCAAAGTGATCAACACACCAAAGTCTCTGCCATAAAGAATGTGGCTTCCTTGCATCCTCCATCCTGTTATTCCGGGCCCAGTAATTTGATGTAACTGTCCGATTGTACTAGAGACAGGAATATACCAAGATTATTCATCATCAAGTAAAGAGACTCTAGATTAGATCTGATTTTTTGGCCTCCTCTAGAGTCAATCAGGCAGTTAAGAGTAATAAAGGAAAATGGTTTGGTCACAAACCCTACCATTATCTGGAGATTACTTCCTGCTGCACTCCTGTCCTGCCATGCACGTCTTGCCCCCTCACTTTTGTTCAGCCTAGCAGTCTACTTCACGTTATTGCCTTGTAAGTGTCGGGCCTCCTGGGCACTCTGGAAAAGACAGGGAGCCAGGCCCTCTCACCCCTACTGGTAACAGGTCAGTGCTGGATGCAGGAGAGGGAGGTGATTTGCATCATGGTCATGCTGCATGGGCCTCACTGGGATGCTGTTAAATGCCAGAGGAGCCAACCTATCAGAATCCTAGCAGCAACGGGAAACTCAGATTTTAGAGGCTTTTTACAAAAAAGCAGCTTAACTCTAGGTCCTGATTTCAAATACCTGCCATGAATGATTTTTAAGTATTTATGTAGGATCCATCAAAGCAGTATTCTCGGCTTTTGAATTGTCTTAATGGATCAGGAACACCATTTCACTGTCTCTCTTGATCATGTTAATGATGTAGTCAGAGTTTCAAAACAGGCCACATGAGGTCTGACTGCACAGAGATGGAGAAATGAATTTCTTCCCACTGAAGGAAACTCTTTCTCATTCGCAGCCAAGATGGGAGTGCCACTGTTCCTCTCTTCACTTCTGAGATACTGCTTCTAGAAGCGGGTGTCACTTCCTCTCTATTACCTCTTCTCTGAAGTGTGTGGCTATCTCCTTGTGTTTAAATTTGGCAGTTACTCGCCATGTATGTCAGCATAGAAAAGGAAATGTTTTTACCTTATCTCCTGTATGTATGATAGAACTTAAAAGAAATGTGCATTTGTTTTCATAGCCCCAGCAGAGAAAATCCTCTTCATAGATTACATGCGCTGCTGTGGACAGGAGGGAACAAAACCCTCTACATATTTAAAGGCACCAAATGTAATATCTGACACTGTTAAGATGCCCAAAAGAGCAAAGTTGTAGTGGAGATGCAGGGTCGTTTCCCCATGCCATCCACAGTGTTAGTGAGTCCAGGGCTGACTTGCAGTGATGAAGAAAAGCAGGGAGCTGTGTCTGCAGACAATGGTGGCTGCATCTGTAAGTGGCTTCAGAGGCAACAGCCCTGGGGAAATTGATGGGTGTGGCAGTGGACCTGTGAAGAGGGAGAATCTGGCCCTCAGCCTGTCCAGTGTTAACCACTAGAGAAACTGAGCTTTATATCCTTTTGTATTGCCTGTGAATTTTAGCATATTGACATTAGACCAAATACTCAGGGGATTTTTCATTAAACATCCCTCAGATAATTTAGCTGTGTGTCATTAGAAAAGGAAAGCTATCATTTTTATTTTAAAAATAAACAAGGCCATCTTGTAAACTGTCACCAAAGTCTTCCCTTTTTTATTGCATGTGTGTCTTGAATTTCATAAAACATTAATTCACAATAGGGGGTCAGAATGTACTCTTGTTGAAACACTTCTTGTACCATTTTATGTTCATAATTATGTTTGAGGAGGTAAAAATGTATGAGCAGCTTAAGTGAAGTAGAACTATTCATGATGCTTTTCATACATTGTGGCATAAGATGTAAAGTTTGTAATTAATGTTCATTTCTGTGCATTTTAATATTCTTTTATAATTATGAGCATTTTAATAAATTCATTTTTACAAACAATAGTATGGTCTATTCTATATTGTCTTAATGTTTTTAAGGAAGAGAACAAATATATATCTGCTATTTACTAGTGGCCAGTTGTGTATCCCTTAGATAAATGTATGCTTTTATGTCGGTTTTTCACAGGCTTCACTTCAGAGATTTGCTTTGGATTTTTAAAAATTATATTCAGTGTATTAAGGTTACAGGTTAGAAAAGGTAGTTATTAAACTCAGCCAAATCCTATTCTTTTTGTCAATCTAGCAAATTTTACCACTTTTTACCAGACTTTTGAATAATGTTCAGTTTCACCTACTAGGTTAATGAAATGTGTTAAAATATCTGCCATAGCATTTATAAATGTAGCATATTCCATTCATTTCCTTTCTAAAATAGTTGTTATATGACCAATAGTGACCCAGAGGACGTAACTGACAAAACTAGAAACCTCTTTCTCTTGCTGCCTTCTCTCTGTAGGACACCTTTCCCAGGACCGTTTAGGTTGTGTTCCCTGTCACCCCTTCATTACTGAGACAATATGTAAATGGACGATGGCCAGACCATATGTAGAAGCAGAACTCTACCTACACCCTGCCCCTGCTATCTGCAATAGTCACCCCAGGGAGCCAGCCTGCAGTAGGTTATACTAACAGAAAGTCAGAGTGCTCTCTCCAGTTACAATCCAGGAAACTAAAGAATAACTTCTGTAACAATTGGCCCAATATTACCAGGACCTGATGAATAACTGACAGCTTCCCTAATTTTGGTCCCTGCTCATACCTTAGGACCAACCAGAGAAAGCCAAATATGCCCTGCTAATCATCACATAGGATATCCGCTTCTAGTTAGCTACCTACAGCTTCCCACATCAGCGGCCTCCAATCAGGCGTAGCAGAAGCCTTCCCACTCTTTCTTTTTTTTTTTTTTTTTTTTTTGAGACGGAGTCTCGCTCTGTCGCCCAGGCTGGAGTGCAGTGGCCGGATCTCAGCTCACTGCAAGCTCCGCCTCCCGGGTTCACGCCATTCTCCTGCCTCAGCCTCCCGAGTACCTGGGACTACAGGCGCCCGCCACCTCGCCCAGCTATTTTTTTGTATTTTTTAGTAGAGACGGGGTTTCACCGTGTTAGCCAGGATGGTCTCGATCTCCTGACCTTGTGATCCGCCCGTCTCGGCCTCCCAAAGTGCTGGGATTACAGGCTTGAGCCACCGCCTTTGTCAAAACATGAGTGACAGTGGATGACTCCCTTTGCTATAGCATACTCTGAATAAATAGCCTTTCCTTCTAATGTGGATGGTCTTTGCTTATTTCCACATTATGATCAATACAATGGCAGTGGATGTTTGCTGGGCAGTCGGACAAGTACTCGAGTGTGTTACTTTGGCAAACTCCTGCCCTTGGATCGTACTGGGGTTGGTCAGGAGGGAGGTTGGTCATGATGACAGATAAATCCTGGAGAAATGTAGATTGGATCACTGGGAATTAAGCTGTGAACCCAACACGATGAGTTTTGCCATTGATAAGCAATGGGGAACCTGTGGAAAACTTCAGAACGGAATGCTGTAGGCAAGAATGTGATCTTTGTCCCTGGTGAGGACTCATCTGCCTTCTCTCCTAAGCTCTCTTTTCTGATGTGCTCTTTGAGCCTCCTCACCTTAAGATTCAAGGAGTTTGGCGGCAGTTCTCACAATAGGGAGGCTGCCTTGCAGCATTCCTGAGGGGAGAAGAAGAATGGACCCCACCCAGAGCCTTCGGATTCCATGGAGCATTCAAGCATAAATGAAGGGGAAATCCTAGAAAAACCTGCTGTGGCTGTGACCGTTTCATTTTACTTGGGGAGATGTTTTCCTTTGGTTATGAAACAGATTTTACAAATGCTCTTAACAGCATTTCCATTTCCCAGCAGAAAACACACATAAGGCAGGTGGCCCTTTAAACCCCTTGCCTCATTCCCGAAAACAGTTCAGCACATGGGATCCTTTGCAATGCTGGAATGATTTTTGTCACTTTACCTACTGGAAGATAACCCCTGAGATCGGTCCTACCCTTCATTTCTCATCATTTCACCTGTTTTTGGCCATAATCAGACCTAGTTCTTCTAATTAGAACCACTTCACACCCCAACTCAAGCAAGTAGACCATGATTCCTAATATTGTTCAGGGTGGATACGCACATTTATGTTACAAAATACCCTGCCATTACTTTCTTGTCATTGTCGCTTGAGGTGAGTCAGAGTGATAAATCGCTGTCAGTCACCTAAGAGGAAGCTGCAGGTAAGAGGCCCTGCTCTGTGGTACAGAACAAGCTACAGCCCTGGGAACAAGTGATAGCACTGGCCGCAACAAAATTCCCGGACTGACCCCACCGCTGGGCCTTTTCTCCCCTCCTTTGTCTTTAAATCAAATCAAATTTTACCTTCACATATTTTGGTTCCTTTGGGACAATCAATATTCACTATTGCAGGGCTCTAGCTTCAAGATCACAATCTTACAGCAACCCTTTTCCCAGGACTGGAATAGAAGAGGAAGGAGGGAGGCAGTGCAAAGAATCCAGGGAAATAAAAGTCAATTAAACAAAGGGGGAAATCTCTCTGGAGACTCCAACAATTAACAGAAGGCTCCTTGGCCCTCATTTCTGGCTCTGTGGAAAACGTCTGGGTATAACTAAGAAAAAACATTCCATTTCGATTGCTCCCCAAAAGACTGAAAAGCAAACATATGTAAGGAGCAGCTCCCAGGAAATTGTTTAAATTGCTCTTTTCTATTGGTGATGGTGGGGCAAATACAACCCCAGGAGCTCTCATGGAACCCCAGAGAGAACTATCACATTCACACTCACCCTTCATTAATAATGAGGCAGGTTAATGCGTTCTTGAGACCTCTTCTTCAGTCTCCTTCATAAGGTTAAATCATTGCATTACCTTCCTCGTTTTGATTTGGAAAATGCACTGAAAGCCTAGAATAGAACTTTTTTTCCCAGACAATATTCTTCCATATCATCTCTTAAAGCTCTATTACCTGTTCAATGTGAACAGTGTAATTCCTAATACGTGATTATGGCACTCCCTATTATAAAAGGAATGGATCCCTGGATGTCTCTTCAGAGCTTTTTCCCTAGGTTTTCCTATTGTATTCAGGGCTCCAACCCTTGGCAGTTTGTCAGCCTGGATAATTCCACAATATTATATTACTGTCTTCCAAAGCTTGTCTTTCTTAACATATCCAGTCATGGGCAACTAATTGCTTAGTATGAATTCCCCCACTTTAGCTGCTGCACTTAATAGTAAAAAAGAGGGCATACCAGTGTCCTGCTCACAAACCACCCCTCAATACAGCCCAGTTTCTGCCAGGATGACCAGTCTGTTACAAACATATCTTGGTGTCAGTCCTCCAAACAGTTTCTTAGGAACTCTTTGACCAGGCCATGCTACCCAAACTAAACCACATCTTTGTCATCTGTGAACCAGAGCCTGGGGCAAATGTACTCCCCTTCCTTCCCACCTACCCTGCATATTGTAAATGATGAGAAGGAAAGGAAACTTTGGGGTAAAAACTGAAGGTTTTAATCTTCTAAGAATAACTATCTTAAGAATATAGTTAGCATCACCAAAAATACGCCATGTTTTAAATAGGGTGGACAAGTACATTTAGAGTACAACACAAACTCACTGAAAAGAAAAAAATGATGAAGGCAAGGTCTGGGGCAAAGACAGCATTGATGTTTGTTTTACCTGGGTTCAAGGCAGCCTGCCTGTGATACAGGAAAGGACATAAGATTTAGAAATAGAGGACCTTGATTCAAGTCCTGGATCTGCCACTTGCCAGCTTCATAAATTTTAGCAAGTTAAGAAACAGAATATATAAATGGACAATGGCCAGAGCATATATAAAAACAGAACACCGATCCTCAGCCTGCAGCAACCTGTCCAGAAAACTAACCCCTTTATCTACAATCAGCCCAGAAAGCCAGCCTACTGCAAGTCAGACTTGTAGGAGGTCAGAATGCTATGTCTAGTGACCATCCAGGAAGCTAAACACCTCTGTAACAACTGGTGCAATATGACCAGAAATTGATGAATAACAGCTTCCCTAATTCCGGTTCCTGCTTGCACCCTAGGACCAACCAGAGAAAGCCAAATATGCTCCCCTAACCATAACATAGAATGCCCACTTCTGCTTAGCTGCCTATAGCTTCCCCATGCCAGCAGCCACCAATCGGGGCATAGCTGAAGCCTTCCTACTCCTCTGCCTGCCTTTGAGTCTCTGTCAAAACACAAGTGACAGTAGCTGACTCCCTTGCGATAGCAAGCTCTGAATAGCCTTTGCTTGTTCTCATTTGGCTGATCTTTATTTCCACAAAGGTATTTAACCTCTCTAGCCTCTAACTTCCTAATCCATAACAATGGGGCTAGTTTCCACTACTTGGCGTCATTATGAAGTCCCTAATGTCTATGCTTCTCACGCTGGATTCAGGATGTATAAGAAACCACAGGATCAACATGAGCAATCCTCTTGGAGGTGAGTGTTTCAATGATTAAAGGAGAAATGGTCATATTAAAACAAACACAGATATATTTTGAAATTGCATGCAAAATCCAGATGAATGTTTAATATAAAATAACAACCTTTAAATAAATTCTGGCTGGGCATCGTGGCTCACATCTATAATCCCAGCACTTTGGGAGGCTGAGGCTGGTGGATCATCTGAGGTCAGGAGCTAATGACCAGCCTGGCCAAAATGATGAAACCCTGTCTCTACTAAAATTACAAAAAATTAGCCA